TATGCCCTCTTCAGGTACTGGAAGGCTGCAATAACGTCTCCCCAGAGCCTTCTCTTCTCCAGGCTGAAAAGCCCCAGCTCTCTCAGCCTATTCTCATAGAAGAGGTGCTCCAGTCTTTTGATCATCCTCGTGGCCCTTCTCTGGACCAACTCCAACTCCGTGTCTTTCTTGTGTTGGGAGCCCCAGAACTGGATGCAGTACTGCAGGTAGGGTCTCATGAGAGCAGAGCAGAGGAGCAGAATCACCTCCCTCAACCTGTTGGTCGTGCTTCTCATGATGCAACCCAGCATACAGTTGACCTTCTGGACTGCAGGCACATACTGTTGGCTCATGCTGAGTCTTTCATCTACTGACAGCCTGAAATTCTTCTCCTCAGAGCTGCTCTCAAGTCATTCTCTGCCCAACCTATATTCATTCTTGAGATTGACCTTTTGTTTCTGCTATTTTACAGATTACTATTTTCTGAAATAGCAGATTACTATTGTAATTGCAGACATTTCCTGAACAAAAATACAGAAGATCTTACATTGCTGACTTCATTTGAACCAATAGTAAGTTGAAAAATCCTTCAAAATTTGTGGCTCTCATAGCACCACTTCCAAGTTAAGTTGAAGCAGCATCTGTTTTCCTATTTTCAGGAAGTTATTTGTGGAACAAATATAGAATTATTTAGTCTGCTGGTATGCTAACATACGTGTGTGGAGTATACATCTTTTTACTGTTTTTGCTCTTCTTTACCTCCTGGAAAAAAAACTCTAGAATGTGTGTACAAGCATATGGCTCCTGCTATATATGAATTATACAGTATCTGTTGAAATAAATATATACTAAATATATAAATGTACAGTAATTGTTGAAATGGCAAAAGTTAATTATTTACTTGTACTCTTAAATTACTTACTAAGGTTAGTCTATGAAGTATCCCAATGAATATTTGTTGTGTCCTCTGTTTCTCTGCTTTAGTTTAATATTCACACTATGCATTAGTGAGTTTTTAAAATTATCTTAGATATAATTTTAGAACTCAAATCCTTTTTGGTTGGATGATTCTTTAAAATTTGAACATAACTTACTAATAAGCAAAACAAATACATACACTGAAATATTTTCACTGGAATATTTTAAGTAAAGCTGCTATATAGGATATTAGTTGGGTTTTTTTGTTTGGGTTTTTTTGTTTGTTTGGGTTTGGGGTTTTTTTTTGCATGGTAATTGCTTTTAGTTTAACAGCAGTAGAAACTTTAATATGCAAACCCCTTTTTGAAGAATAACATTGCAAGTCAAATCAGAGACCAGAGCAACTTTATGCTAAGAGCACTAATACACTGTATTTCAGATATCCAACCAAACCCAGTCCTCTGTCAGGTTAAGATCTGTGGAAGCATACATCTTGCTCTCTAGCAATTTAGAAGCTAGTTGTCCATTATTGGAAACACAAAGCTTGTCTTGATCTCAGAAAGCAATACATTTAAAAAATAATCAAGCAAAAAAATCATTAATACTTATGTAGAAACTGTGACTGCAAATTAGAGTAGAAACATTGTTAGACGTTTATCCCACAGACAGGTTGCGTTGATAGTTTCAACCATTATCACAATAATGAAGCAGCAGAAATTGAATGATATTAAACAAGAACTAAAACCCCAAGACTAGCTCAGATCTTCCTAAACAGGATAATTAGTACCAGCTAGTATACATGATTTAGGCAAAGACAGAATTAAAGACTAAATTGAAGTCTAAAGTCCTTTCTCCTCATAGAGTTCTTGTTGCCAGACAACCCTAAATAATGACCACCACTTATTTACAGCTAGTCAGTTTCAGAGAATACAAGATGGCATGTATTCACTAGCCAGCCATCAGGCATATTTTATTTTCCCCACAAGGACATCTTTGCTCAAGTCACAGTTACCATTTTCAGTTCCATCCAAGACACCATTCTTCTACTTACTAAGAAAAATGTACTAACATTATTAGCAAAAAACCTCCAGTGATTTCAATAAGTAATGCCCACTTAGATTTATTCCAAATTATCTCTAAATATCTTTTTTATAACATGGCCTGAAAATTAGGTAAGACTGATGCCTGAGAAGCATGAGCTAGTGCATTCCAAGAAAATAAGGATTAAAAACAATTGGGAAGAAAGCACTAGTGTTATATGGACTTTTAAAGTGTGATCAGAGAAAACAAATTCAGCTACAGAATAAAACACCGGATCAGAAACAAACAGTGAAAACTGACTATGGATGTCAGACTTTATGGAAGGTAGGGTTTAATACAGCCTGGACTACTACTCCAAGCTGGAGTACCATGACACATCACTAAAATGCGCAAAATAACCTAAGAAAATATAATTGCTATTGATAGGCAATTGAAAAAACTGACTACTCTGAGGAAATGAAAAGAAAGAAATTCATGTAATTTTGCTAAGCAATTTTTCCGTACAAGATGTAAAATACAGTAACTACATATTGTAGCACAGAAGAAAGTAATGGATAATTTCCAGAAGATATCACAGCTGACCTAAGAGAATGCTACTAGAAAATACTTTCTTATCCACTAGATTCTAATACATTTTTGTATTAGAAATCCTGAAATCCTGTCTGGTTAAGAAGCTTAGCAATTAGGCTGAAAGATGTAACAGACAAACAGTCTGAGAGAAATGGTACTGTACTGGCAAGAAAATTGAAGAAAGCACTATCAGATCACCTAATTTACCTTAATTTCTATGAAATTTAATGTTTGCTCTTTTCAGATTATTTGCTTATTCAGTCATGAAAATTCTTAAATCTCTGGACTCAAAAAATGTATATCATTCAGGCAATAGCGCCTCAGAGCTATTCATGTCAATTGTCCAAGGTCGTTTAAATACATTTTGCATGAACTACCTTAAACTTAGTGTGCAATTTATATATTTATCAAATACTAATCAATATGCTATACCAGAATTACAATTGGGCCTTGAGTTAACTCTGAATGCTACATGAATTCAAATTGTGCAAGCAACCATCTGCATAAATGAAATTAAAGTGTATGCAGTGATTGTTATTCACAATACAAAAGAAATGAAGAAATGGTCTAAACGCAGTACATACTGCAATCTGTATTTTAAATAAATCTTAACTGTGTTGGTTTTTTTTCTTTAACAAATCTAGCTTCAATTTCACTTTTTTGTCCAGCATATTACCTCCACCGTATTGCTAAAGTAATTTATTCCATCCTCTGTGGAGAGCCTGGATCTCATTTGCCAGCATATTTATCTTTCATGCCACTGCACTGTCATTCATCTGCAATCCCCACAGAACATCAGACCTGTGCAGAATTTCAATTAGGATTGATTCAACTAAATCCAGGCTACAGAAGTGAGGCTGACAGGGTGACCCACTGAGAACTTAATATGCTGAGTTTAAAAAGAAAAAAAGAAAAAAAGAGGGAAATATACAAAATAAAAATACAAAACAGAAGAACAGCTGAAGTTTAACATCGTATTTCATTAAGTTCTCTGTATACTCAATATAATCTACCTCACATTTTTTCAGTCTCTGAACTGTGTGGGCAAACTGTATTACAGTAGCTTTGATAACAACTAGAAAGAAATTACCATTAAAATCTCTACTCTTCCTTTGAGGTTCAATCAACTTAAAAGACCACTTGTAATAAATAGAAAAACGATTCTCACAGAGGCTGAGCTACCTTAAGCTTTCTATTCTGTATATATATATATTCAAAATTTGATACAGTAAGTGTACAGGTAAAATGGCTCTTCTGGACTCTTGATTTGACAGACTTAGTAGTCTTCACTGTAATCACTGAAAGACTTCATCTGCTTGTCGGTTAAATGGCCTAAAAGAATTTCTTAAATAGTTCTTGGTTACTGTGTTTTTTCCTTTATGATTTTTACATGATCAAACCTGAGAAGTCTTTATCTCTACTATTTAAATATATACTATTTGCATCCAAATTCTATCTTAGCGGTTTATAATGATTTTCTTTGATTATACACCAGAAGAATATGTAAGTAAATACTCCAGTTTACTCTAAAGCATTACAGTAGAAAAGAGGATAATAAAATTCCACATTCAATTACTTTTTGTTGTCACTAAAAAATTCTGTTTAATAGATTTCCTCTAAAAATCAATTTTTTACCACAGAATAATAATACAGGTATGAACTCCCACATGGTGTAACGTGAGACAAGATAAGAACATACATGCGGAACATTTAGCAAATAAGAATAAAAAAAAATAAAGTAATAGAGTGGGAAAAACATTTGTGCACACATATTGACATCAAGTAAAGTAAAAGTCAACTGAAACTGGATGAAATAATTAAAAGGGGCGTTGTGCATTTAGATACCATATCAGTGACTAAGGCACAAACAAAGGTTTGAGCTGACATTTTCCTTTATGATTTTTACATGATCAAACCTGAAATTATCTCACTAAACAAATATTTTGTAACTCTTTATCAGTCACAGACAAAAAGTTATCAGTGTATCAGAATTAGTATGAAGAACAGGCAAAACAATCAATTAAGTATCTGTAAGGGATTGAGAGTGAACTTACTATAAGTTTGACCTCTTTCTGAAATTTGGTCACATGATCTACGTATAGCTGCAGTGAAGAGGAAAAAGCATAGTTTATTGCATTACTGCAATAGATCTGAGTGTTCAACCTGTAACTATACTGTGAGGTAGTACAGGTGCATAAGAAGCTATGCTCCAGATAGATATTTTTTAACAACATTTCTTTTCATCTGAGGTACCAGTTTATGACTATAATTGATTAGATTTTTTTTTCTCTGGACCACATACATGTAGAAATACTAAAGTCATCACATTCCAAAGTATATTTGGAAGCATATACTTCTTTGTTCTGTATTTAGGGAACAGATACAGTAACAGCTGTATTACTATACATACATTTACATTAGACTACTGTATGGTATAAGAACTTAATTATACAATCAAATGTAATTTTGAAGAGCATGCAAGGGAATCTTACCTTCCTTCTTTATCTAGGTTTACTTCACTCTTCACTGACCATAAAGAAACTCTCCATTATTTGGGCTAATAGTACTTTGATCTTCATTTCGTAAGCTGAAACCAAGATCAAGTGGCCCTATTTAGAGGTTTAGTCTAGTTTGTAGACATAGTTATTGTCTTTAATAAACGATAGCTATCAAATGATCTCTGTATCATATCAGTATGATGTTACAAAGCAAGTATCATGAGAGGAAATGGACAAGAAGAGAAACTGTTTCCCTGGAAGAGTTACTATGTGCTATAGAAAAAAATAAATAATAAGATAAAAGAGTATTATAAGAGTATTATAAGGAAATTGTGAAGGAAAATATAAAAATAATACCATAATTCAGGTGTCAATTACAAACCACTGAATACAAGTGAGATCCTTTTCAATTGGCTCTTTAAAACAAGAAAAAAAATGCTAGGGGGAAGCAAATGAAGAATAAGGAATAGCATTATGACAGTGGGGAAAAAGAACAAATAGTACTGTTTCTTACGTAGAAAAGGATGTGACGACTGCTGGCTATACAACTACATAGGAGCTGAGGAAGGCAGTCATTCTTTTCTTATTTGATAATCAGTAATAGACTAGTTTTAATACAAGGGTATAAGAACATTTATCTAGATCCAGCATTTGAAATACCTTAAATATTTAGCCAAGTTCATACATTCAGAGAATAATGGGTGAGTATATAAAGTAAATTTTATACCTACATAGTAAAATATAGTACATACAGTAGAATTTAATTGCTGGTTCGTTCCTCAAGAAATGCTTTGCTAAATAGATAAGCGTTTCCTGATTGTAGACCTAAAACTGAATATCATTACTTTGGGGAAATTAGCAATGATGTTCAAACCAAATTAAAGATTATGGTGACCATTTTTTAATATTTTATAGTATATAATATGTAGCAATAGTGACAGTAATAGTGATAATAACAACTGTTCCTTTTAATTTAGTACAGTTATTCTTCTGGATTGTAGACTGATTACACAAATTGAACATGTTTTCTGCATATTTAAATGATATTAGCAGACAACTTTCTATCACACTATAGTAGTCAAATGAGACAACTATAGATGCACAAATTGTTCTAAGCAGCATATTTAAAAAGGAAGATAGATTATTATTCATAAAATGGACTACTGCAAACATAAAGGACTGGTCAGACAGATGGAGTTCAAAGATCAGAAATGAATTCTGTCATGTGTTTGAATACCTGAGATAACTCAAAGCATTAGTTTACAAGCAAATGGAATATTGTTAAACCTAAAATGTGAGATACAAGACAAAATCTGTTCACAGTTTAAAAGCATCAAACTGTAAATGACATTTTTCCTTCTAAGAAAAATACATTATTCTTTTTTTCTGTCTCCTTTTTCAAACAAAGATTTTACAATTTCATTCCTACTTTTATCACATCAAATAGACATTACTTCATTTTGTTCTCTATATTTTATTCTAAATATATTCAGAAAATATTAACAGAATTTTTTTGAAAACTTATCTACTAAGTAATGTTTACTGTCATATGACATAGCATCACATATGAAAAGACCAAGTTCTATTATTTGTTTATTTTCCCCACTTGTGGTCAGCTCACTTAGGATGAAAATTCCCATCACTGACATGATAAGCTAGCTAGTGTCTTATAAACTAATAATTGGCCTTCATGGAAGACCAAGAGATCTAGATTACAAGAAAATTGTTCTTCCAATCCTACAGTTACCCATCCTTAAAAACAAGTTTTATATTATTTGACTTATTCTTAGATATCATCAGTTATATAATCCATATGGAATTTGCAGATCCAGAATTAGTTCAGACAGAAGGTAGACCTCTACAAATCAGTGATGAGAAGAAGGTTTCACCTTACCTTTCACCTTCATTTTACTTACCTACATTTCATGTAACCTACTCTTTTTCAATTAAAATTAGTACACCCTTCAAACGTACTATCTTAAAATACATCACAGTATTTTTTCTTTTGCAAAGGAAAAGACCTGCATACAGTAGTCTTTACTGTGCCATACAATATTTTCTTTCTTGATCTTTCCATTTATTTATACAAGTTTTATTATTACTTTGCCTTGAAACTAATTTTTTTTGCTTATTCTGATTGTTCTACTGTTCTTAGCCTGCTTTCTTACATTCCGTTTTTTTCATTGCTGTGTAATTTTTTGTTTCATTCCTAAAAGAGATCTGATACAGACACATAGATCACTTACTCTATTTTCTGTGTGTACTTATTACTAGGAATGTTCACTGTTACTTAGTAAGATTGTTTACATTGACTGACAACTCTATTATACCACTTTGCCACTAGATTTTGCTTCTATGAAGTCTTCTTTTCTTTTCAGTGATTTTATTGGGATTCTTTTATTTTTAAACTTTATACCATTCTTTAAAATATTCAGATATTTACTCTCTAACTTTACTGAAGTAAATATAGACTGGAAAAGTCTATATCTTTTCGCTGCATAGACATACCTAATTCTCATCAGCTGCATGTTACACATATATTCCCATTACTATTGCTATTTAGGTATTGACAATATATTTTTTATTGCCAGTAAACGTTTTTTAAATCTTTTTTCATTTACTGGTTGCTCAGAATGGGATTTTCAAAGACACATTCCCCTAGTTTATTTTTCCAATTGAAACTCACTTTCATGATTGTTGAAGGACTTTTTTTTTTAATGTATGAAATATAAACTTTTCAGTTTAAAAGTTATCCTACTTCTGTTAATGTCCATGGCAATTTTGGCTTCAGTGGGCTCTGACTTAGGTAGGGCACACAGACAAGATGTGAACAGATATGTATGAAACAAATGTAATGTCCAAGGGTCGTATGGTTTCTATGCATTTTTTCTACAAGAAGCTCTGCTGAATCCTCACAGAAGTCTGCCTGTGGCTTTTAAATAGATTTAAAGAGATGATTTCACACTCATGCTAGAACTATTCCAGTCCAAAATACACTGAATAATACAGTTACTAGAATAAAGCGTATCTGGAATGTGCGTGCAACATCAAGGCAATGTTCACTACTTGGAATCAGGTGGATATATATCACCTGACTTTTCTTTTTTCACTTTTTTTTTTTTTTTACTTTTTTTTTTTTTTATAATTATGTAGCTTGATTTCATTCTGCAGCATTATTTATCTATGACCATATAAAACAAAAGTAGACATGTTATTCTAGGGTGTTCCTATTTCCACTGTGAGAAGTCAAAATTTAACAATGAATGAGAGTTAAAGACTTTCATTAAGAGAAATCAGGCTTCATTATTACTGCAGCTTTTGGAGTGGATTAGTGGAAATTGCTTTTCTTTGGAGATGTATTTTAAAATAACACCACAATTGCAGAAACACCTGTAAGTGACATTACCTCACCTGTAATTCATTCTGTACTCTGTAATGACAGTAGCAGAGCTTCAAAATTTCACAGTTTGTAAGACTTTCTTCCTTTCAGAATGTACTCCAGGGTAGAGAGCAGTTATTCCAGTTAAACTATGAAAACGGTTTTATATCAGTTATCAGCCCTCAGCAATATGGCCAAAAACGATGAAATTAAAAAATGTTCAAGATGTCAATTAGAATAGACTATTGGGAGCATATCAATTAACAGGACTCTGCACTTGTTGGTATATCCAGAGGAGGAAAACATGTCTTCTAATCTCAAATCCTCAGATCTGTATATATCATAATAAACAAGAGAAGATATTGCCCGAATTATATTTTTAAAAATAGTAACAATCTATGTTCCTCATTAAGTCTGCATTCACAACACGACAAGTTATATATCCATAAAACACTAGCTCAAAATGCATATTTTTATAAGCTATATACTTTAGCAACAAATTATTTTTTTATTGTAGACTACCTGCTAGTATATACTATGAGTTGCTAATATATACTATGAGTTGCTAAAGTAAAATAATCTTTTAAAAAATCCATAGAAGTCTATTTACTTTGACAGTCACCTTTTGTTTACAATCATAACCCACTTGACTGCTAAATTAAGCCTATGTTTACAGCAGAAAAGCTATCTTGAGCACAGTAACAAGAAAATTATCCATAGTTTAAATTTTAAACTTATATGAAACAAACATATGTAGTTACTCGCCTTTTTCTCAGCCCAATTAGTATAATTTAAGTTCAGGTGTGAATTTACAGCACATTAACTACCCCATACTAATCTTCCATGTGGTTATTAGGAATGTATATTAATGATATAATAAAACATATCTGAGTGAATTCTTCTTTACAGTAGAAGTTATCTTAATGGAGAAAAAGAAAAATATAGATTAACGTACATAAACAGTATTAAATGAACTTTTAAGAAGCGGACTGAATAATGCATGTTTCTTAACAGTGTATATGATGATTCACTGGAAAAAATATTTCCTATATTATTATTCGAACATCCAAAAAATACCCTGCCCAAAAACTATGGCAACTAGTCTCTAGCGATGTTCGCAGGACTGCATTCATCTCCCTCTGAATCCTTACTGTTATTTTTCCTTCAGCTTTCTAGGATATCATTCTTCACAATCAGATGGTTGAGACTCCATTGCAAGATTTTGCCCTCTATCTTCCAATCACTCAGATAAATATTTTCATGTTTATTACATTTAAGGCAGTTCAATATATCTCTCATTTGATTGCTGAAAGCACTTTTCCCCATTACAACAATAACAAATCAGAAAATCAGATCAAACTCCTTAAATAATTAGTAATAGTGTTCACATATCACTAACAAGAAAGCTTGATTCTGAGTACATTTTTGTGTATTCAAAAAAAATGACTTTACACTTTTGACAGACGGCAAATACAAAATGCAGATTGCAGACAAATATTTTCATGTTTATTGTTCCCATCTCAATGTGAGTGGAACTCGGATGTGTAAACATGCAGATATCTCTTTAGACATTTATCCCCAGACAAGGGTAGAAAAGACACTGTGTCAAGTATATGCCTTCTAAGCATACATTTTCATGGTTTATGTCATCTCTAGGTAATGACTGACCTTGTTATAGTCGCTTGCACAGGGATAGATTTTCACTATGAGGACTGCAGAGCCTATTACTCATCTTTCATTCTGACTTCAAAACCACAGGTAGACTTTTGAGGACGCAGTGTGAAGAGAGATTATGCATAAATAGTCCTGTACACACACATATTCCAGTAAAGACACATTATTACACAGGTCAAAAAGAAATCTGCAGTCTCATTCAAAAAGCTGTGAAGAAAGTTCCACATTTTTGCCATAAACGTCTCATATCAAATATGTTAGATGTGTCAAATATGAATCAAACTTGTGAATTATACATACAGATATTACAGAGATAACGCCAGACTCTTTGTGTATAAGATGACAATGCCTCCATTCATAGGGTTATATCCTAACCTTTGTCCTAGGAAGAACTACATATATAGCAATCTTCCTAAAGAGAAAAAATGTTTTTATGTTCCTTGGGATTACTCACATACACTCAATTATTTTTAGGTAGAATAGTTTAGAATCTCAGCAAGCCACAATCAGATCACGAGTATAACAAATGTGTGAATAAACTAGCAGTAATGTTCAGCACCTGATCCAGCTCTTTCGAAATCCATGGAAGTCAACTTCAGCTGAACTAAACCCTTCCCAATTTGGAATTTCATTCGGTGAAATATCCTTTAATTATTTTTCTCATTCTAATTTCAAGAAAGTCTCACAGTGAAGCATGAAGAACGAGAAATTAAAGAAATAAATGAAAATAAATTTCTGAATGTTTGGTTGATCAGAAGATATGACCTGCAAAATTAATAGCCTTATACTTTTAATTAATAGTTGCATATGTTCTTTATGAATATAGGAAGAAAATTTTAACAAGGTCCACCACACTCATATTGTATGCAGGTGAACTTCACAAATTTCTAAGGAGTCATTCATTGGTAACCCCAACAATGTTCCAAATATTTTTCAAAGAATATACCTAATAAATCAAGAAAGTTGAGATAAAAAAGAGTGTATTGCAGAAGGCTCAAAGTTTGATATGAAATGCTTAGGCTTTTTTCTTTGACTGATTGGATAGCTTCCACAAGAATGAAATACATGCTAAAAGATTTACAGATAATTACATTGCTGTGTTGTTGCTAAAATATTAACAAACCACTGTCCCACAGACTAAATTGTAACAAATATTGGCACATAAGCTAATGAATAGCTGTAAGGTAATGAAAAAAAAGAAAAAGAAAGAAAGAAAGATCACAGGACACTGGGATTCCAAAACAGAATGTCTATAAGTAATTCACACTCAAAGAAAAATGTCACTTTCCTTCTACTCTCCTTCTTACTAATTACATTTAGAACACATGTTCAACATTTGGTAGATACTGTTTGAAAGCAATTTTTTCTGGAAACAGCCTCAAGATATCCTCCGCTCCCTTTTCATTATAGGAAAGTATGACCTAGAAATACTGAATAATAACCTTAAACCAAAAATATTTTCAAGTACTCATAAGAGTGGGTAGCCATTTTGGAGAAAAGATAGATGCATCACTAGCAGAGAAATACAGCTATGTCATTTTTAAAATTATGCAGGAATTTTGTTTCACATTACATAGTGAAAAAATGAGAGGAACATTCTTAGGATGTATTGCCAGATCAACACAGACATGAACAACTACCATGCATTTTAAGCAAATATTTAAACATTAAAACTTGCTGCAATCTGCCAAATCTCACCTCCCATTAAAGTTAATTGAAATAAAACTATCTGGATCATTTATGCTGAAAAAAGTACTTGAAAATTATTACAAAGTCAAAATTAGCGAGAACCATTTTCTCAACAATTACTGTTTGTTCAGGAAAGTAAAATTTCACAGTCTGGAGTTATCCTGTAAAATAAGGCATCCACTCTCACAGAACATAGCTGTGGTATGTGGAAGAGGGAAAAGTGCATCACTTGTAATAAACCACTCCTCATAAACTCGGGTTAATTCTGCCAGACTGTGTATTTGAATGCTAATCCCAAGAATTTGTATGGCCTCAACTTGGCATAAGCAATAGGAACCTATATTTCTATCTTTAAGACATCATATTATGCCACTTATCTAACAACAGAACAATCATCTATATGTTTGTGGCCCTAACAAGTTATGGTTCTTTGCTTTTGTCTTTGCAAGCATTTTAAGTATAATAAAAAGTAAAAACATAAAATATAGTATTAAGTCATATAACTTACAAAATTATTTAAATGCTGAAAAGCATTTTGTACAGGAGCAAATTTGAAGAGAAATACTGATGCATTTTACACCCCATTCAAAGCCAACCAATATCTTCTTACATTTCTCTTTATACATTAATGGCACTCTGAATTGAGTGTCATGATTCTTGCCTGAAAGAAAAAAAAGTAACAGAAACGGTAAGTGTAGTTTGCAATTACAGGGACACATTCACTACCAACTTTTGCTAGACAGACTTTGCCCACTAGATGAAAAGTAAGTTCCTGGCAGCCTTTACTGTTGAATTCTTAACAAAATGAATGATCCTCTACTTTAGTTAGAACTCCCAGAAAGAAGTTCAAGTGTCTTCCAGACTCTTAAATATATACTTTCCAAGCTTTCTCTCTGCTGTCAAAAAAGTGAGATTATACTATAATACATGCATTAGCTGCCTTGCCTCAATTCCTCAGGGAGGCCAGACACTGCAGTTTTAAATGAGCTAAACCAGTGGTGAGAAGAAGTGTTGACATCAGCTATATTACAGAGAAGACTGTAGAGGTGTGACCTTCACTGTGAATTCACAGTAAGATGACAATGCATTGGTTACCTTGTCACATCATCTCTACCAATTCCAACTTCGTAAAAGTGGAGACACAGTATGGGTCACAATCTGAGACAGGATGGATTTTAAGCAAGTCAGCCTGAGCCCAAGCAGACAGGGATCTAAGGTCTGTGAGATGGGAAAAGCCAGGCTACATCTTAGTAGCAAAGCAATTATTGAATAAGAGGGCAAAGCTCTGCCCAGACCTTGCTTCTCCCCTCCCCTCTCCTGAGTCTTCCATTAACTCCCCAAAATATAGTTGCTCCCACTGATTGAAGATAGCACCATCTAGTCTATCACTTTTATGGCTGACGTATAAAGATACCTACATAATTGTCCCAATTCCGTGACAATTTAACAACTGGTTAAATATATGGTAATTGTCAAATATATGGTTGTCTCTTTTCACTTTCTACCTTTTATTCATTACGTAATATTTGTGTCACCACTCCTGAAGAGTCAAGGAGTGGTGTCTGTGGCAAGTTGATATTGTATACTGTTGCAACTCTTATGTTTGTTTCTTGTATGGTTCCATGTTTTATACAGTGCATAGTATCATCTATGTACTTTGTAACCTCCTCTACTGATGGGGAAGTCAAGCACATCAGGGCCTAGCCTGAAAAATATTTTCTAATGATTGTGTGAAGCATTTGATTCCTTGCCCCCTTTCCTCCTTCACCTTTATGCTTGCTATCTTTTTCTCACCATCATGGATCATCTGTGTTCCATTTTAAAGCAACCTCTAAGTCACAGGGTGGTGTTAGAGATTATTCTTTTACATCATTGTCTCATAGCTTGCTGGGGACACAGATGAACAAGTCCAAACAAGTCTTGGGCAAGGGTTGAGAAATCCTTTGTCTAAGGGAGACAGATAGACAAGACCAGGGGCATGAGATAAACTGCAGATTAATGGCTGTGAAGAGGTCTTTTATGTGGACTTATCTCAAGGAAGATGGCCATCTCAGGGAGTCTCACATGACTCTTGCTCAAACACCCAAGGATGTCACGTAGACAGAAAAAGAAGAAGGATATAATGGGGACCTACAATCATGAGGTTTAGGTTTTCTGGCAACAGATTCCTCATGAAGAAGAAGAGGTTTCTGACATGAGAAGCCTCATGACCCGCTTCTCTCTCTCCTGGACTTGCTCTGCACTCTACCACGATGCTGAAAAAGAACAAAGGTGTGTATCATCAGATTGCTCACTACAGAATTCCTGCATGCTGACAGACTCTCCTGGGCCTGCTACCTGAGTCCTGCTGCTTCATCCTGAATTGGCTCTGCTACTTCTTCCTGCTACCTGCTTGCTGCCCAAGGCCAGCCATGCTGTTGCTGCTCTCCCCCCCTGCTGCTTTTGCCTCGGACCTTCAAAACAGCATGCAATGGGAGCACTGCTGGATCCTGGTGGTGACTATCCCCGCTTTACACTATTCTTGCTTTTTTCCTATCTCTTCTATCACCCTCCTTTCCCTCTCCATCTCCCTAATTAGGATTTATAATAAACTGATTGGACCAACATTTGAACTATTGTTTCTTAATCTCACGCCGGGTATACAGATATTAAAAGAACCTCATCTCCCTCCTATAAATTGGAGTGAAGGGATAAAGGAAAAAGGGTAGAGAGATCAGCCCCAAAACAAAACAGCAGCAATAATCTGAGGAGAAACAAACTAATTTACTAAATAACATACCGGAATGCAAGATAACACACTATAATACAATATGATTAGAATTAGAGCTAATAGATCAAATAAAATGAGAGAGAGTGTCCGAAAACTGAAGGCCTTACACTAATGCAGAGGCAAAATGTTCAGTCAGGACGAGAGAAGGGAGGAGAGCCTGTGTCATTTCTTGCAAAATCACCTGCACAAGAAGAAAAGTAAAATTAAAGTCTCTTAGGTGCATGAAGTATCACATTATTTTTATAAACCCACCTTCAGCAGAAAAAAAAGTAAACAAAATGAAGACATTGAAATTTTAAAGTAAATTCTGTCTCTAAGCATACACTTATTTAGCCAAAACTGCCACCATGTAAAGTCAGCACAATGCAAGCATATTAAGGGAACTACTCACGATGTGCAAAAATTCAGCCTACCTGCATGTTTCTGGAAGATTGGACCACAGAAAGAAAGTGAAAATATTTTACTCTAAAATATGAACTAAAAAAAAAAAAGTTCTACTCCACTAAGACGCACAGTAAAACAAATTTTTATCATATGCTGAAGTCCAAAACTAGGCCACCAAACCCTATAAATAAATGAACAAGTCAACGTCATAAAAGACATTTATTTTGCTTGATACTTCCTAACTGCATTATCCTAATGCTGATATAATCCTGCAGGAAGATATTAATTTAAGATGTCAAAAAATATTACTTCATAAATGAACTGCATATAAAAACTGAAAACTGAAATAGAAAATTCTTCAGGTACTTGGTAGACACAATCACACACTAAAGATCATGTCAAGGTCAAAAAATCTCCCTACAAAAAACAGAAGTTGTACTCACACAGGCAGAACAGAACAGAGGGACTGCAACCTGGTAAAACTATTCCAAAATTTGGAGTTGGTGGTGAATAATTGGACATCTTGTGATGTTATAAACAACCAAGGGGTTAACAGAAGCCACAGGTAAATAAACAATAAACTAGGTAGTAGAGAAACAAATATGACTTTACTTCCATGTATGGAGCAGGTAAGATAGATACTGGAACCTCATATCCATTCCTGCCTGTTATGATTTTAAAACATTGAAAAGCTGGGGAGAGTTCTGAAGAGCCTGAGAGAAAACTCTGCTGTAAAAAACAGCTGGTTCTCCTATTACATAGATGCTTAAGAGTCTACAGGTTTATATATATATAATCTATACAGGTTTAATCTAAGCTTTATTAAAGAAGAAAAAAAGTAGAAACACAAACATCTCATGTCAGAAAGATCAGACCATATAAATTCAACTTAGAAGTGAGCCTTTCTATTTCACTGATAAATGTGAATGTCAATCACCATTAACATAACAAAGAACGGTAGGTTTTCCACTTCAGACACTGAAAACAACAGTTTTTCTTAAATATCCTTTAAAAAATGTATTCTTTAAAAAACTTACTTAGCTATTTTTCAAATTTTTTCTTTATTTCTGTTCAGCATTTTCTAATAATGACAATTTAAATAACTGTGCTCTTTCATTTATTAAAATCATTTAAAAATATATTTTTGTTTTCCTAGATACTCTTCCACTACCTATATGGATTGCTTGCATAATTTTATACAAATTAATTATTCCACCAAAGTTTAGTAAAGGAGGACCTGAGTAAATTCTCTGGGTTATACTACTTAAGATAAAAAATTGTTTCTGTCAAATAAAGCATTCTGGTTATCTCTACTGCTTAAAAATTTCTGAATTTGTGTGGATATGTGTTGATTCTGACCATCACACATTTCATATGGCATTGAAACAGCAGGCCACAAATTTAAATACAAAAAGCAGGTGTTCAGCATTCCAAGAATGCAAAGGGCTTCTTTTATAAAACTCTGAAACAGTCATGAAACATGGGGATGCCACATCTTGTAGTATCATAAACAACAACTTTCCCCCCTTCAAGTTAATAAAAGTAACAAATTTAAGACCTTGACAGCTTGATAACCTCACTATTTTATGTTTGTGCAAATATTTGCTCAGATACACGCAGAAAGACAGATGTCTTTTTACAGTTCAGTTAACCATGCTAGTGACCTTAGGATTGGCTTATACAGGTTTAATCTAAGCTTTATTAATTGCTTTTTGGAAGTGGCAGGATTGTAAATAAAAGATTGATTGCTTTTAATAGAAAGAGATAATCAGTTATCATTCGTGAAAGTTAGCAGGATAATAAAGAAAACTACAGAAAAGTCAGTTTAAAAGACTTCTAGATTTTTCTATATTTGCTCACACCACTACTAACTAAGAATTTAAATACACCTATTAAAACATGCACTAACACTGGTTAAATTTGGAAATGAAGTTTGTAAGTACATGTTTAGGAGAACTAGACAGAGAGAAACATTATACATGGTGATGCTGATACAAAGTCATCATATCTCAGCAAAAGGATAAAATAATCTGTTATGGTGGGTCTACACACAGCCTATGGCTAAAGTGCTTGGTATTAACATTTTGCATTTCTCTAATCCAGTACCTAAAGAATCCAGCTGTCTTATGACTTTTGTTAAACTAGATATCTTGTTATGCAGAAAAAGTAGAGCACAATGTAAATGTCAAATGAAGAACTTAAATTATTAATTTAAAAAATCAAAAATATAACCAAAATGCAAAAGATAACAACTACTATTAATACAATTACAGAGTTAGTGATAGTCTAAACACATAACAATGTGATTAACAGTACTACAACTAAAAGTATTTAGCCAGTAAAGTCTCCTACTATTACCTTTTTTCAGTGCACATTATTCTCACCTTTTTCACTGCTCCTCTCAAGATCAACAGATCACATCAAAGATTTGGAAAAGTGGCAGAGCCGTAGGATCTACAACTGAAGTTTGATCTTTATGACAGAGACATGAGCAATTCCAAGGTTTTTAGAGCATTTTAGACCTTGCTCTTTTTTCACTGGTCTGTAACTTCATGTCCAGCCAACTTTGCTTTATATGGTGCATTGTAAATGTTAGATAACGATTCTTAATCTTTTTTATTATCCCCCCCAAAAAATGTGGGTTTTTTTAGTTTCTAGATTTGTATTACTTTCAACAAACTTCAGTTGTGTTTTTCCAAAGCTCTGGATTACCATCCCTAACCTACAAGTGAAGGCTGGTTGCTAATTGCTATTGTTCAACTGACTGATGTGTCAGTAGACTGCTATCTAAGATATTGAAATTATGAAACCTGAGATGGCTAGAAAAGAAAAAAAAAAGGAAAATTATTTTAGTTACACTGCCTCAGAAGTTAGTGAAACTAACTATCATAAAATTACTATTAGTTATGAATAGATATGGTTCTGCCTGATTGGAAAAGATGATTTAAAACTCTAGAGAAAGCATCTTCTGTAGGCTTTTTTTGTTTGGTTGGTTTTTGTTTTGGGTTTTTTGGGTGTTTTTTTGTTTGTTTGGTTGGTTTTTGTTTATTAATGCTTGAATAGCTACATATGTTCCTTGGAAATGGTGAATAGGTTGAGATTTAGCTGAAAATCAGGCAGAGTAAAGAAAGGTAGGAAAAGAATTACCAGCAATACAGTTTGTAACAAATTAAGTACTTGGAAAAAAAAATGAACTTAAGACATGACCTTTCTTCTTGTATAGAAAGTAGAAGACAGGTTTAACTATCTGTGCTTCACTAGGGAATCTGTGTATTATCCAGTTCATGAAGAGATCAAGGATTTGAACTTCCAGCTTAATTTTAGAAGGACTGAACTCTGGATTCTAGTGCAGATGCAATACTCTATGGAAGAACTCCACAGAATAATCCTGAAAAACAAACAAAAAAAAAAAAAAAAAAAGGTTCTGCAAATGCCCTGCTATGGAACACTATCTCCTGGAAACTAACAGAATAGCACTGCTTTAAATATTTGTTAATTAAACTAGTAAGAATATTTGTAATGTGCATGAAAGAAATTCATCTTGCTTAGGTATCTGGGCAGTATGTCCTACAACTAACAGGGCTTTTCCATTACTAACAACATTTTCAAGTGATGACAAGATAAACTTGCAGAATCAGAAATTCAATAACCTCCCCCATATGTCTGAGCAGAAGAGAACTAGAACCAGAAGGAAATTAAAATTCATAGTGTTTCCTATCTTTACTTCAATATTTGCAACCAGAAAGAAAAAAAAAAGCATTACAAAACAGGGCACAAAACTTTTCCTACAGGCTGTTCTTGACATCTACAGAGTTTACATGAGACCACGCAGGATGAGCCAAAAGACTGCAGATCAGTAAGTTTCAGGCATGTGCTACTTTCAGTATGGCAACCATGCATCACCATATTGAGCTTTTTAACAAATATCTCTGCATGCCGCCTGTTAACTGAGGGCAAATGATGGAATTAGTATAGGTCTATAAAAGATCTGTAATAAAGCTAGTAGAGGAGGCTGGGGCTATCAGCCAGGATGACATACCTATGTAGATAAGGTATGAAACCATGACAGGATAATTGATTTCCTGACAGCACAAAAAGACTCAGCTGCAACCTTTTTAATACAGTGCCAAGTAAAGAATGAATTGGGGTTAGTCAGGACAGGAACTTTTCCCATCTCTTTAAAGTCAGAATAACAAGTGGAACAATTTAGTGTACTTTTAATAATCAATGACAGAATAATACACGACCACCATTGCTTTGATGAAATAGTCTGGGCACATTCAGCAGCGTCATCTGGTTGTAAGGCATCAGCAAAATCTTATCACAAAGAATTCCTATCTTGAATCACATTTTTTAAAAAATATACTGAGAATTATACACAAATAAATAATGTTTACATTTTCATTAAAATGAAAGACTGTAAAAAGTGACCTCTGATTCAATTGCTCTCAGTCAGAAGACATGTACATACCATTGTATATGTGCACATAGACAATCATAACAAAGGTCTCTCCAAAGGAAAAAGATTCCATGGAGCTATTCTTCATAAAAGATACATAGCATACATATTAATATACATATTATAAGCCATACTTAAGTTATACTTAATGTAACAACACTCTAACGGTCTATTCAAAGCCAAGATTTAAGGATGTTTATTAAAAACCAGTAGAAAATAAACATCACTGATGTGATCAAAATCCTTTTTTGGCCTAAGGATCATGCCTGCATTCTAATTAAACAGTTCTGAAGCTGCTAATAATATATAATTAAAACGATGCTATAAAAGTTGAATCT